TTCTTCTCCCAGGGGGGGAGAATTCAGGGGTGCCTTTGTTGCAATAATTGTCGCTTCTTCACCAGAAGCAGCCAAACAGTCCTTCTTACTTACATCTGAAGAACAAACTGACAAAAACGCAATTGTCAACCCTGAAGTGTCATTTGTCTCATAAGTACAGTAGTAGGGTTGTTTAACTGCAAGCATTTGTAGTTCAATTTGTGTACACAAGTCAAAATTTCCCATTTCCATTGCTTCGAGTCTTGGAAAGATTTGGACAGAGACACAAACTCCACGAAGGTATGTCCAGACAGATGTTATGTAATTGTCACTGTTTTTATGAAATGCAAATAAATAACACCAAATTAGTCCATTTTTATTGATGTTTATTCTTTCATTGGTTAACAGAAGTAGCACCATTTGTACAAATTAGGCCTGAAACGCACTAAGAAAGTAAATGAATGTACGTGTTGCATTCCCTGCATTGCCACAGGGGGCGCTATAGCATGCATTTCTGAACTGTCTTCTTGTATAGCCTGGTCAAGTATTGTCATGGTGGAGCAACGGTTTGAAAAGAATCTTGTTTAGGCCCTGTCCCAAATTGCACCCTAAACCCTCGTGGTCTTCCTCGGAGTCTGCACTTTCATGATGTAATGCCACTTTGACTGTCGGGTAGAAGTCTGCTGCGGAGCTCGTCTCAGTGCGTGCTCGGCAGAAGTGCGGATCGAGGGCGCAAAGGGGGAGCTCGCGAGCACCCTTCAGAACCGTTCTGACTTGCATTCCTTCTGCCCAAAAGACGTGAAATAAAAAGCACCCTTCCACAAAAAAAAAAGTGTCTCACACGGCTCCGGGGGGTGAACAAAGGCCTCCTGTAACTTATTGATGCGTTTTCGTAAGAAAAATATCCATTCAAAACGTAATAATCACTTGAATCTAGCTTGCGCCAACAGTTGTAAAATGGAAGCAGTTTCGGGGGAATTAAGTGAGGTCAGCTTTGCGCATGCGCCGCTCAGAAGTGACGCACGCAGAGAGATTGAAACAAAACAACGGTCACTAATTAGAAGTACAAAACGAGGATTTGTAAAGAAGAATGTCAGAGGATTTCGATATAAGCCAATAGGAGACTTGTTTTCCTTTGCTAAAGTAAGGAAACTTTGCTTCTTTTGATCCTGTAAACAAACGTTGGTTTTCACGAGACTCACCGGCGCATGAGCAACGCTGACCTCATACGTCATCAGCCCGGAGCTGCTTCCGTGTACAACTGTTGGCGCAAGCTAGATTCAAGTGATTATTACGTTTTGAATGGATATTTTTCTTACAAAAACGCATTGATTCGCTACAGGAGGCCTTTGTTCACCCCCCCGGAGCCGTGTGAGACACTTTTTTTTTTTGTGGAAGGGTGCTTTTTATTTCACGTCTTTTGGACAGAAGGACAACACCCGTGAGTACAACGATAGAGCTTGAAAGATCAAATAAAAAATTGTCTATAACTCCGACTGGATTCGTCTGAAAGAAGAAAGTCATATACACCTAGGATGCATCGGGGGTGAGTAAAACACAGCCTAATTTTTATTTTTGGGTGAACTAACCCTTTAAGACACACGCACGCGGCGGCCATTGTAAGACCGCAAGTGCACATGAAGTGTTCCATCTGTGACAGGGCCTTAATGGCATAAACATTTATATTGAGGTTTCCATCGTAATATACAATGTTTCTTTCCTTAAAGGGTTACTTTACCCCAAAATGAACATTTTGTCATTAATCACTTACCCCCATGTCATTCCATTTTGGATGAAAACCGGGAGGCTTGTGACTGTCCCATTGACTGCCAAGTAAATTACACTGTCAAGGTCTAGAAAAATATGAAAGACATCATCAGAATAGTCCATCTGCCATCAGTGGTTCAACCGTAACGTTATGAAGCAATGATAATACTTTTTGTACGCTGCACGGATGCGCTGTTTTCGTTCAAATCAAAGCGTAAATACACGTAGAAAACGTATCCTTGTGTCGCGGCTGACACAGAATAGTGTACGCAGTTTGCGTTCAGCGGATATTCTCCAAAATGGTGCTACGGTGATGCGGAGAGACACAGAGGAGACGAATTGTTGAATAAAGTCGTTATTTTTGTATTCTTCACGTACAAACAGTATTCTTGTCGCTACATAACGTTACGGTTGAACCACAGATGGCAGATGGACTATTTTGACGATGTCGTTCATACTTTTCTGGGTCTTGACAGTGTAATTTACTTGGCAGTCAATGGGACAGTCACAAGCCTCCCGGTTTTCATCCAAAATATCTTAAATTGTGTTCCGAAGACGAACAAAGCTTTTAGGGGTTTGGAACGACATGAGGGTAAGTGATTAATGACAACATTTTCATTTTGGGGTGGAGTAACCCTTTAATCTTCCTTAATCCTTCTTTCCGCATCAACCAAGTAAAAACAAATTACCTATATTTTGTTGTAAAGTCCATTTTGTGTTAGAGAAATATAAATCCTGCTGGTTATATTTGTCTCTTGAAATTGGAATTTATCAAATTTCGGGCAAGCGATTTTTATTATCTTACACCTAAAGTGAAAACCACTTCAAAATTATCATTATTTTTAAGTCATGTTGGTTACACTCAGGGCCACATGGAATCTGCATCCTAACTAATTAGGAGCATCTCCACTGATTATTCCTTCAAAATCATTACAATAAAAAAAGTCTGCAGATTCAGTGGGGGCCTCAATGGCTATAGCACATCAAGGGCTACTGCTTCATACTCCAGATTGCATTGGTAATAAATACCAAAAATAAATATTTCGACAGTACAGTATGAACCAGTTGGTAAAGTTGTCCATTAGAGTTTCATGCATTCATTTCTAGGGGTGTAACAATACACGTATTTGTACTGAACCGTTCAGTACGAGGGTTTCGGTTCAGTACGCATTACAAACCGAACGATTCGTTGTACTAATCCTATTACATTTGGAAAATAAAAGAGCTTAAAGTGTGTGAAATACAATGTTCTCAGTGCCACTGCGTTCAATGACGTAACAGCCCTCAAAGAAAAACGCACTGCTCCAGTCAGGCATAGTCTGGACTAGCTCGTTCGTTGCAATATGGCTAGTAAAAAATTTTTGTTTGTATGAAGGCTAAATACAAATAAAAGGTGAACATTAATTTATTTGTGCAGTTTTTTTTTCTAAAATATTATATAGTTTTATAGAAGGAGGTTTCATAGGCTTGGCAAATACATTTTTCTGAGGTTTGTAGGTACAGGCATCTGTTGTGGGCATTCTTGGCAGTTTTTCTGAGGCTTTTTTTTTTTTAAATATGGTTCCTGTCAATATCGAAATTATGGAAATAGACGAAAACAAGGAGATACACACTCTACAAACTATCCCCGCAGCATTTAGGCAGGCATTTCCAACTGATTCAAACAGGGCAAAACAAATCACCGTAACAAATCGTCATATAAAATTTGTAAAAATGAAGGAAATTTCTCTGGCAATTTGTTTCTTTTTGCTGTATCGAAAACGTACCGAACTGTGACACCACTCTGTTATATTGAACCGAAACATAAATTTTGTGAACCGTTACACCCCTATTCATTTCATTTGAGAGGTATGACTGCACGTCACTTGTGAGAAAGATGGTGGAGGATATTTTTAAAAAGGGAGGTATATAGATATCCATTCTCTGACAGCCGTGACCTGCATGTAAACTCCTGGAACAAAGCTTTTAGGGGTTTGGAACGACATGAGGGTAAGTGATTAATGACAACATTTTCATTTTGGGGTGGAGTAACCCTTTAATCTTCCTTAATCCTTCTTTCCGCATCAACCAAGTAAAAACAAATTACCTATATTTTGTTGTAAAGTCCATTTTGTGTTAGAGAAATATAAATCCTGCTGGTTATATTTGTCTCTTGAAATTGGAATTTATCAAATTTCGGGCAAGCGATTTTTATTATCTTACACCTAAAGTGAAAACCACTTCAAAATTATCATTATTTTTAAGTCATGTTGGTTACACTCAGGGCCACATGGAATCTGCATCCTAACTAATTAGGAGCATCTCCACTGATTATTCCTTCAAAATCATTACAATAAAAAAAGTCTGCAGATTCAGTGGGGGCCTCAATGGCTATAGCACATCAAGGGCTACTGCTTCATACTCCAGATTGCATTGGTAATAAATACCAAAAATAAATATTTCGACAGTACAGTATGAACCAGTTGGTAAAGTTGTCCATTAGAGTTTCATGCATTCATTTCTAGGGGTGTAACAATACACGTATTTGTACTGAACCGTTCAGTACGAGGGTTTCGGTTCAGTACGCATTACAAACCGAACGATTCGTTGTACTAATCCTATTACATTTGGAAAATAAAAGAGCTTAAAGTGTGTGAAATACAATGTTCTCAGTGCCACTGCGTTCAATGACGTAACAGCCCTCAAAGAAAAACGCACTGCTCCAGTCAGGCATAGTCTGGACTAGCTCGTTCGTTGCAATATGGCTAGTAAAAAATTTTTGTTTGTATGAAGGCTAAATACAAATAAAAGGTGAACATTAATTTATTTGTGCAGTTTTTTTTTCTAAAATATTATATAGTTTTATAGAAGGAGGTTTCATAGGCTTGGCAAATACATTTTTCTGAGGTTTGTAGGTACAGACATCTGTTGTGGGCATTCTTGGCAGTTTTTCTGAGGCTTTTTTTTTTTTAAATATGGTTCCTGTCAATATCGAAATTATGGAAATAGACGAATTAAGGAGATACACACTCTACAAACTATCCCCGCAGCATTTAGGCAGGCATTTCCAACTGATTCAAACAGGGCAAAACAAATCACCGTAACAAATCGTCATATAAAATTTGTAAAAATGAAGGAAATTTCTCTGGCAATTTGTTTCTTTTTGCTGTATCGAAAACGTACCGAACTGTGACACCACTCTGTTATATTGAACCGAAACATAAATTTTGTGAACCGTTACACCCCTATTCATTTCATTTGAGAGGTATGACTGCACGTCACTTGTGAGAAAGATGGTGGAGGATATTTTTAAAAAGGGAGGTATATAGATATCCATTCTCTGACAGCCGTGACCTGCATGTAAACTCCTGGGAAGCCAAGTCGACCACAGCCGTGACCCCAGCTGGTCACCCCAGCCAGAAACCACCGGCCCTGGGGTTCGCGGCACACCAGAGGGCCCCCTGAGTCTCCCTGCAGACAAAGACAAGACCACTGAATTCATTAGTGTTTTTATGGAAGGTATGACATTTACAGAAGTCTGCTGAAAACTCAAGGATATGGTTGGGTTACATTGGGCTGGGTTACGTAATCAGCTTAAGAGGCATGGTGGATGTTTTAAGTGGTAAAAAAAGACTTTTAGAGCATTAAGTATCATTGGGTAAGTGCAATGGTGCTTCAGAAAAAGTGAATCAGATTTCTCCTACAAAGAGAAGAATGTGCAACTCCTCACTATTTTGAATAGTAGAGTTCAGAACTCTTTAATATTGGAAACAAATTTTGGACCAGAAACTCACCAGACATGTGTCCTTGTCTCCTTCCATAGAGCCAGCACACATCATGTTGTTGCTAAGTTCAGCACCGTAAGCTTGCTGGCAGTCCAACTTATCAATGACATTAACCTGTGCTTTTGTCAAATTTAGGGCAGAGCATGCCTCTGAAAACTGTTTACATACTGCTTGCATTTTATCATCTTTTAATGGCGATTGGTTGTTGCCCATGCGTTTTTCGTGCGATATTTGCATAAAGTAGAGGAATGAGAGAAATCTCTGGCATATAACATTTCATGTTTGGTTTGTTTTTACATCCATTACTAAATGTATGACGACTAATGTGAATCGAATTCTCTTTTTCAAACAGATGGTGAACACTTGGTGAACACTCTAGTTTGGAAGACAGCTTCAGCATTAGCCACACATTAAGGTCACTCAAACCTAGGTCTGCACCAAAACGTGTAGGGTGAAAATGATATCATAAACTACTAGTGTTAGGTTTTGTCTTGGTCACCTTGACCAACCCCATACTTACCATCCTCCCTCATAGCGCCCCATCCAATGATGTAGCATTCCATATTTTTGATGAAGCTATGCCAGGGAGAAGGCAAACACACAGTCTGGATGGTGTAGGACTTTGGGACGGGGATGGAGAGTTCCACCAGGGCCACATCGAAGTCCATGATGCTGCCATTGAAAGCAGGATGATGGATGATCCTTTGTACTGGAATCACCAGAGCACCCACTCCAGACCAAATGACCGAGCCAAGACTTACTGTCCAGCTGCCAGGGTTCAGGTCACTATTAACGAAAACAAAATAAAACACTAAATCTTCCCTGTTCACCTCTGTCCAGATCTGAAAGTAGAGCATGTTGGGTAGATGTCAATCAAAGGTACACTACCCTCTGAAGCAGTGAGCTGCAGTCAGGAGCCATTTGCAGTGGATAAGCGTAGCTCCACAGCGGTGAGTGCGTTGGTACTGCAGACTGCCCACCCATGGCCATTCACCTCTATGGGCAGTGACACCACCAATAATCCTCTCCTGGCCCATAGCTGGACGATTCCCACAGTCTACAAAGTAATCAGGTGACTCTTTTATTCTTATTCCTAAAGCTAGTTCAATGCGCCCTTAGTCAGGGTATATACCATATTTACATTTACACCCATAAGGCTGTGAGGGATGCATGTGCAATCTGTTCAATGGGTTGTACAGTTGTGCAACTTGGTGTCAATCAGCTGACACAATGTTGAAAATATGCTATTCCGAAAAAACTTACAGTGCACTAAAGAACTCTGGGTTGTGAAAATTGGTGAGTACAACGTTTCGAACAGACTGTATCTCTACCCTTATTTCTTTCATCTAAATTTAAAGGGGTCATGAACTGAGAAATCAAAATTCCCTTGATCTTTTGACATATAAGAGGTCATCGTGCTATTAAAAAGTTCTGTAAGTTTCAGGACTCAAAACTTTCTCATTAGTCTAAAAACAGCTTACATTGAAGCCAATCTGCCAAAACGACAGGTTGTGGAATTTGCCACTTTATGATGTAATAGTGTGGCTAAACACCACCTTCTCAGAAGATCAACACCTGCTTCTACATTACTGCCTATTTAACCCCATCCACCAAATTGTGCATTTATGAACTTTTTTAAGTTTCAGACCGCGTCAGTAGGAACTTGGTCCTTTGTTCACTTCATTTTACCATGGATTAATTTGCAAACAAGGCACAATTTGATGCAGGATTTTCAGAAAGATTTAAACTAAAAGACGATGATGTCCCGACTATATTGCATCCGACTATAATGTCGCAAGACTCAAGTGTGAGAAACTGTTTTTATTATGTGGTCACTATTTCTTTGTCTATTATTACAGAGTGTTTGATATGTACTGAATATTTATGCGTTTTTAATCTAAATCACAGCAGTGTCCATCTATGAAGGATGTAGGCTGTCAAACATAATACAACTATTAGCCAGTCACAGCAGTGGGCGTTTACTTCTGAGTCTACACTCCGCCAAACCTATTCAAACAGAGCGTTCTGATGAGGGGGGTTAAAAACAGGATAGAATATTGCCTATTACTTCTGAATTATGTTTTTTGATGTAAACATTTTAATAACATTATAAGTGGACCTCAGAGAACAGTACAACATAAAAAAACAAAGGTAGTTAATGACCCCTTTAAATATGGCACCTACCCTGACGAAGGTCTACTCTAGATAGTTAACATTTCATTAAAGAGAGTGCAAACCAGAGTAAATGTTGTAGAGCAGGGGTGCCCAATCCTAGGATCAGCTCTGGTACCTGTCTGCAAAGTTCAGTTCCAACCCTGCTCCAACAAACTTCTTTGTAATAATTAAGTACTTGATTAGGTTTGGAGCTAAACTTTCCAGTAAGGTAGATCTTCAGAAGCAGGATTGGGCATTCTAGAGATTGAGATTATGGATAGAGATTATTTACCACAGTTTTTCTCGTCAGCCTCATTGGGGCAGTCAGCGACTCTGTCACACTCTGGGTTTGTCTTGCTGATGCACATGTCTCCGCCACAGTTATAATTACCACTGCAGTTCCCAGTAGCAGGGTAATAATCATTACTGACTTGCTCAGAGGATAGGCTCATAACTTTAGCAATGTGAACTGTAGTGGTTGTGACGCTAGGGACAGTGGGGGCGACTTGGATTGTTGGTGCAGTATTGGTGTAGCCCAGAATCCAGTTGCGGAGCTTGGTAACGCGGGAATAGACTCCAGGCTTGTTGATCTGTGCGCATCCCACTCCCCAGCTCACCACGCCAGCCAGGAAAAAGCGTCCAGGGGACACCTCACATACCAGAGGGCCTCCGGAATCTCCCTGAAGGACAAAAACACATTTAAAGCAATTTAATAATTAATTTTGAAACACTTTTAAATCAAGCACCCTTACCTGACAAGAGTCCACCTTCCCTTGAAGAAATCCAGCACACATCATATTTTGGGTAAGTGCACCTCTGTATACAGTTGACTTGTTGCAAACTTTCGAGTCAATTATCTTCACAATTGCCTTCTGTAATGTTGAAGGCACCTCACCTGCTCGGGCACAAAGAGGTGTAGCCTCAAAAAAGTAGCCAGGCTTTTGACTTGTGGCAAAACCACTGGTCTTCACGGAATCTTATTAAGACTAAGAACTCGCATCTAAGATGCGAAAGTAAGTGACCAAGTACATCTAAGTTAAACTCAACAAATTCAAGCAAAAGTATATTCAGATGCTTTCCGCAACATCAAACTTACTCACTTGTGTACTGATTAAGAGTTCCCCAGCCAGAGACGATGCAGTTCTGCCCAGGACTGAAAATATGAGAGGATGATGGGATACAGACTGGCTGAACATAAGAGCTGAACGTCAATGGTGTTTCCAACTCCAGCACGGTCACATCACTGTCAGTGGTCATGGGATCGTATCTCGGAGAGACAACCAGGGACTTGATGTTTATTATGGTGGCTTCGCCCTCCTCCCCACTGACTAGATTGGCTCCCACAAGAGCCGTCCAATCTTTTGGGTTGTTTTCTCTTTGGTATATAAGAAGACATATTTAGATATACATTGGTGTCTAGTGAGGGGCTGATGAAGATTCTACAAGAACGATTCCTCACGTTTCAAAACAATGGGCAGCGCTGACGAGCCAATGATTGTTGATGATGGATGCACCACAGGTATGACGGCCACGTAGTCTCAGACTGACCTGCCAGGGTAGCTCCCCGTGACGGCCATTTTCACCACCCACAACACGGTTGGCCATGGCTGGACGTGTTCCACAGGCTATAAGAGAAACAGTGGTTAACAATCAAAGAACATAAATTAAGCTAGAACTAGCCACTACAATTATATGGTTCTTTGGTTGCTAACGTGTTTGTAGTGCCTTTAACATGTTTCTATGTATTTCCAATGGTATTCTAGGTGATTTCTAGGTTGTCCTGGTTGGTTTTTAGGTGGCTTCTGGTCTCTGTGCAATTCTTGTCCCTAGATATAGCTTGTGTACATCTTAAATTGAAGTCTATTGATTTTTTTGCCAGTATTGCTGTCTATTGGGTGGAAATCCATAGAAGACTAATAGCAGCACACATTGTCTCATTATGCTGCACAATTTGACATATTCAAATGTGTACCAATATTATGTACATTTAATGATTTGTGGTTTGTTCAAATGACTAACCCTTGGTGATTGAGATGTTTGCCTTAACAAGCACAACTATAAATACATGTTCCACTCCTTTAAACTATTTTGATACTAAAATGTCAAATTTTAGCAAAAAAAGTTCTTAAACTTACAGAAAGGAAACTAACAGCTAGTTCAAGTGTTAGCATAACAGCAAGATGGTGACACTTACAGCAAGATGTTTCATCTGAACCATCAACACAGTCGGTTATAGAGTCACATTCTGGATTTGTTTTTGTGACGCACTCGCGTGGATCACCCTCGGGCCACTTATTCAAGTCTTTCTTCTCCATTTCAGTCTATACAAAGACCTGCAACACAACCTGGACATCCAAACTGTAAAACACAAGAGCACATGGAGGTAAGAAGTACAGACAGATGACCAGGTAAAAACAGGATTGGGTTTTTAAGAGCTCAAAAGCATTAGCAACTACCTTGGGTGCCGACATTGAAAATCATCTTGTGGGATGCCAAAGTATTAGTTCACCAACCATAGAATGAGACAATACTAGGAGTGGTTCCGAGAAGCCAAACCAAACCTCTGTCGAGTCGGAAATGTTATAACACAGAAATATGAAACTTGCTGTTCCAGAATATATTGATATAGTTACTTTTCACTTCAGGGTTGTAAATGCCACAACAACTCTCTCATTACATATATCGACGTCAAACAGATGATAAATGCCAATTAAAACTATTATTTGCATGCTTGCCAACAACAATGCAACAGTATCAAATAAAAAGGCAGGTTTTGACATACAGCTTGAGAAAACAATACAATATACTCCAATTAATCTAGAATATAATCAAATGGATAAAATATTAGAAATTAAAGAAAAATATGATATAGAATAATTAAATACTTATTATTTCAGGTCACAACAACTACAAAAATGCATGCTAAAAACAGGAGTATGCTCACTATATATGCCATTTAAAACCTAAATTGCAAAATTATGTGCATGCATGCATGAAAAAAAAATAGTGTGAAATATAAAATAGCTATAATAAATTGCAATCACAATTCGACCAATTACATAATGCAATACAATAATATTTTCGTTTCTAACATAATAAAAATAGATATTTTACGTGACTATGCAGTTAAAAAAAATACTATTCTGAGGAACTCGATACAAAGTAATGCAGAGTATTAAAACTGACCGTGTGTAATAACTTCTGGCATAGTTCACGCACCAATAACTAGTTACGTAGTGTTGAATAGATTGTTACTCACCGTTTCAGACAGCATCTGGTCACTGAGGCATCTGATCTTTACGTTGACGTCCGAATAAACCTCAAGATACGTTTGGAGACTATATAGAACACAGCACTGTTATGCGGTAGGCTTGCCAGTGGGCGGGGCTTCACACAGGTGAGGGCGGGATCTCGTGTTTGATTGGCCGGTGCTGCGTTGTCCACATAAAACTGTTGTTTTTATAATAAAATCCTCAAATATTTCTCACAATATTACTTTAAGACTTCTAAGAGATTTAGAGAAATAATAGTTGCTGTTCTTAGGAGGGGTTAAATGGGGGGGAATCCAAAACAAACCCAGAAGCTTATACTTCAAATAGTTTTAAATTTGTCTATCTATCTATTGTCTGTTTGTCTGTCTATCTATCTATCGTCTGTCTGTCTGTCTATCTATCTGTCTGTCTGTCTGTCTGTCTGTCTATCTATCTATCTATTGTCTGTCTGTCTCTCTGTCTGTCTGGCTATCTATCTATCTATCTATCTATCTATCTATCTATCTATCTATCTATCTATCTATCTATCTATCTATCTATCTATCAAACGCTTCGTGTCATTTTCTCTTCTCTGTTTAAGTCCTTATTTGTATCTTTTTATATTACTTATTCTGTTTTATTTTATATCTTTTAGTTCGTAAAATGTATTCTATCTAACAAATCTACTTCTGAGTGTTTATTATAGTTTATATCTGTTCATTTTTATTTAGATTTTTTACAGTTTATATATTTTTTTTAATCTTTGTTTCTTATATATATATATATATATATACTTTATTATGCATTGATGTTTTCCCATGTTTCATGCTTGTAGAATGTAGGCTATTTTAGCTGATAAATCTGTTTGTCAAATGTTATTTTTTATTTATATATTAATTTTTATTATGACTTTTTTAACCTCATTATTTCCTATTTTTTCTCTTTTTTTAACCTCATAGGTTTAATCTCTACTGTGCAAAATGAAATACATGAAATGCAACTTGCCACACTAGCCCACCGCGCCTCAGACTTCTACTGACCTGGATAAGTATTAAGAGTTGGCGTGGCTTCATACAGCAGCTCCTCTTACAGACCCCTCTAAAGTTAACCATCAGTTAACAGACCCTGAACCACTATAACTGTGTTACCCAATAAAGCCCAGACTTGGGTGCCAGTGCACACTGATAAAATCTGGAAAGTCCTGCTGTTCAAAAGAGCACCAGCGAGGCAAGACACACTGAGCCTTTCATTCATAACTGCTAGAAAACTGCCATCACAAATGGAGGGACCAACAAATCTCAATTACCACACACGTATTGCATTAAATATCAGAGTGGAAACTATACTGGATCTCACTAGTATATTGATGTACATGCCGTTTCCCACTTAAAGTCAATCCAGAAAAAGTTTAAAGCAGGTCTTTGTGGCTGTGCTAAGAAGCATGAATGGCTAATCTGATATCCATCAAAAAAGCTCTCTTCTTGGTGGAAAACCCTTTGTTTCCAAGCTTTTAGTGAAGGTTATAGAAAAACATGATTTGAGTGTATGTGAGAGTAGTTCTTCTGTTATGCTTTAAAGAAACTGTTTACTCAAAAAAGAAAATTTTCTGAAAATGTACTCACCCTCAGGCCATCCAAGATGTAGATGGGTTTGTTTCTTTATGAGATTTAGAGAAATGTGACTTGCTCACCAGTGGATCCTCTGCAGGGAATGGGTGCCGTCAGAATGAGAGTCCAAACAGCTGATAAAAACATCACAATAATCCATACAACTCCAGTCCATCAGTTAATATCTTGTGAAGTGAAAAGCTGCATGTTTGTAAGAAACAAATCCATCAAGACATTTTTAACTTCAAACCATTGCTTCTGGCTAAAGTACAAGTTCTTTATCCATAATATTGCTTTCTCCATCTCATCTGAATCAGGAGAGAAATATGCACAGAATGATCACATTTTACAAGTAAAAACAATCCGAAACTGTTCTAAACAAATGTTTGTGGATTTTGATGTGAAAAGACAACAGGAGATGCACTTTTTCACTGGAGGAAGAGTCATTATGATTAGACTCATGTTTTCGCCAGAAGTAACGTTAAAACACCTTAATGATGGATTTGTTTTTTCACTCTATAAGACTGGAGTCTTGCAGATTATTGTGATGTTTTTATCAGCTGTTTGGACTGTCTTTCTGACGGCACCCATTCACCGCAGAGGATCCACTAGTAAGCAAGTGTAATAAAGTGTATGCATGTTCTTAAGAAAAACATTCTCCCAAATAGGGAAGGGTCCACAACTGAGTCTTTAATCTTAGGAATTAGTTTTGCGAGTGTAAAACAGAGGAGACGACACCACAAAGGTAAACACAAATGTTTTCTCAAGGTGTCTCAGAACCGAAGACCTTCAAAATACAGTTTCCATTTAGATTATACAAAGATGTTCACTGAAAGCTTGCCGAACGTTCAACTGTTTGTGTGTGTACAAAAGCCTTCCGAGAAGGTAATCCTGTGGGATCCACCCTTGAGGTACAGGCATAATCTTTGTTTTTGCTTAATTTAGAAATGGTTACATCCCAGATGTTTATTAATGTCTAAATCTAAAACAACACTGAAAGAACTAGGGTAACATCACGCACCCATTTTCATGAACAGAAAGCAAGCCTTATAATTCAAACCATAATCAACACACACAAAAAGAGAGTTTCATAAACCACAGAAACAAAACCAACCGAAACCACGTATCCTGAGTCTAAATACAAAATGTATTTTTCATGATTTCAGACCTAACAAAAACCATCTATTTTCTTCACCAGACATCTATACAATGCAAGAAAAAAAGGCATAATGTTATCCATCTTGCTGTTGAATGAAAGGGTTCGGAATGGCCTCCATCCCGTCCTGTGGACAGATCAGCACGACGGACGTCCCTCGACATACAACCAGACCGAGCTGCCTGGTGTCTTCAGTCAGTTTATACTGATCATCAGGATCTGCGTAAAAAGGGTGTGATCAGGAATCATGCATAATGATTAAAATGTAAAAAAAATATATATATATATATAAAAGTATTAAAATAAATAAACCTTATTAACAGTTTGATTAGAATAAAAATATAAACAATTAAAATAAATATAGCTAAAAATGTATCAAAATAAAATATCTTTTTTATTATTTGTCACAATCAGTCTGGAGATTTGACCTCGCATGTATTCAATGGTGCCATCCAACACAAGATTCAACAGCGGGTCGAAGCCTTTTAAGACCCCACTTGCTGAAAATAGCAAACAATGAATGTTAAATTCAACGTAACTTAATTAAGCACAATATAATGTCATTATATTATTTAAACCCCTAATTTATCTCATAAAGCAACTTGTCTCACCTTCACGACCTCCTTGGAACTTTACTCTGATATGTTTGTCGATGTATTTCGACAAATCAAAAATACTCTCCTTCTTTTTCTTATCTTTATCCTGCAAATCAAGACCACGGACTATATATCAAATATTACAGGCCTGTATAACATAATAGCAGACCATGTAGCTTAGCGCAATAATACACAACACAATACATCACATTTACAATAACCAGCTGGCTCTAGTGTGTAAAATTCAACTTTAAGAGCCCACAAGACATGTGTGTGTTTGTTTGTAAACGCCACGCGCCCATAGAAGCGTTTATAAAGTGAACGGTGAGGAAACGTTTGCGCTACTCACCGCCATGTTCAAAACCCCTGTACGCCCCGCCCACTCTGCGTTGACGCTTGACGCCTGCCTCTCGACCAATCACAACACGCGCCGGTGAACCTTGACAGAAGATAGGTTTAATTTTATCATCTTTAAATACCCACAGATAGCGATGAAACACAATCGGAAAGTTTTGTATTTAATTTCTAATATCGTAAAAAAACATAAACATGCTGAGATAAGATCATATGCGGGATTCGGTTGAGGCCCTCGGCACATCCGGTGAGAAACGGACAAACACCGGGAGCGAAGCGCGAGAAAACAAACCAGCGATTGATTCATTCACCAGCGTAAAAACACGAATAAACCGCGATTTTTATGATTAAAATCGCTTTGGGGGTTATTATATGACCTCGAAATGACGGAATTACTTTTTAACAAGAGGTTACAGGTGCTTGTGAAGAATAGAGATACCGATGAGAGGTAAACCCGAGTGTATATGTATGCGTTTTAAACATAGATATGACCTAAATGTGTGTTTTGGGTTTGCTAATTCATTAATTGTTTTGTATGTTATAGAATTTAGATTTTGGAGGTTCTTAAGGGACTAAATGTGATTATTTATGGTGCCTTTTTAATCACAGACGTTCATTCATTCGTATCAGTATTGAACTGCAGCCATCATCAAATCCTGTCCATAGAAAGGTGAGAAATGGTCATTTATACATCATTAGTTATGTATTTAAATCATGTTTTTGGGGTATTTTGAGTTTATTTTTATTAACAGGATTTGGTTGTACGGCTGACAGATGATACTGATCTTTACTTTTTATACAACCTTGTCATATCAGAGGAAGATTTTCAGAGGTATTGTGATCTTTTTTTAATATATATATATATATAATATTGGTTCATATTTAATTTAATTATTTTACTTCGGTGTGCAGTTTTCAATGTAATAATCAATATTCGCTTTCCTTCACAGTTTAAAGGTACAACAAGGGCTTTTAATAGACTTCACATCATTCCCACAAAAATGTATCGACTTGCTTGAGCAGTGCATCTTTGAACAGGACAAAGAAAACCCACGGTGAGAGTTTATCTCGATTTTATCGCTTTTATATCTCCTGTTAATGCGTAATGGTTGTGCCTGTTTGTGTTCAGGTTTCTCTTGCAGCTCACGTCGGCTTCATCAGCGTTCGATCACAGTCCTTCAAACCTTAACATTGTGGAGACGAACGCTTTTAAACACCTCACGCATCTCTCTCTGAAACTGCTGCCGGGATCTGATACGGATATTAAGAAGTATCTGGCCGCCTGTCTGTCCACCGTAAAGGTGAAACTCATCACGGGCTTGGACTACAAATGGAATATGTATGTCGTAATCCTGCTTGTTTTTAATGAATGAATCTGTAATGCGTCTTTGTTTTTTGGGTGTTTTTACAGGAGGAAAAGCAGCAGTTGGAACAGAAGTTGAGAAAGACTGAGGAAGATCTGACAAGACGGCTAAATTATGCGCAGCAAGTAAGCCACATTCTAGATTCCTCTTCGAAGTGAACTTATTATTATTATTATTATTATTATATACACTTATTTATCCTCCAGACCCTGTCTGAGAAAAGTCGAGAGTTGGACAAACTGCGATCTGAATGGACGTCGCAAACGACCTCTCTGTCCAGCAGACACATGCAAGATCTCACAGCTGAGCGTGAAAAAGCTCTCGAGGTAACCCAACATCTATAGGCTGATATGGGCATTTCAGTGTTGAATTCATCATAGCAATCAATCAATCATATTTATTAGTTGTATTTATTTTTTATCTTTATATATTTTCGTTAGTTTTTTGTTTCTTGTTTTATATTTATTTTATTATCTTGTGTTTTAGTTAAGTTTAGTTTAGCTGTAGTATTATTGTTTTTTGTCTTTAGATATTTATATTGGAATTTGAGTTGATTTAAATTTATTTTTATTTTATTTTTTTGTCTATTTTTCGAGTTTAACTTATTTCTTAATGTATTTTATTATCTATTATTGTTTGTTTTTCTTTTTATTGTTGTTTTGTTTGTTTATTCTTTTGTTTATATTTAGTTATTTTTATCTTTAGGTATTTTTTATATTTAAATTGATTTATTTTTGTTTCTGATTGTATTCTGTTAATTATTTTTTCTAATTTCTATTTATTTTATTTATATTTTCATTTATCTATTTAATTTTTCTTTCTTAATTGATGTATTTATTTAAATTTCAGGAGGAAGTCTGATGTTTTATCTTTGCGTCTCTGTCCAGGAGTGTCAGAGGTCTGAGCAGCAGGTTCTGTCGTTGAGGAGAGAGAACAGCACCCTTGACGCCGAATGCCACGAGAAAGAGCGTCTGGTCAACCAGCTGCAGACGCGAGTGGCCGTCTTAGAACAGGAGATCAAAGATAAAGAGCAGCTCGTGCTGCGGACCAAAGAGGTGCTGGAGGCCACACAGCAGCAGAAGGTGACGGTTCTCATTAGCATTGTGCAAAAATAAATGAAATGTAATTCTTTTTTTATAGTAATTAAAAAAAAATTTTTTTTTTGGGCATGAAATATGAAATGGATGTCATTTTATGTTTATAATTTTCAGTTTCTTTGCTAGAACTCTGTTGAAGGAAATGTTGAAAGTAAGCAAGTTCAAATCAGCAAGCTGGAGACCGCAGTACAATCCCTGTCAGAGGAGCTCATCAAGGTTTGCGTCGATTTTAAAAGAAAATCATTTCTATTTTAAGTCCAGATGAATGCGTCTCACAGATAGGGTTGTGACGGTGAGGAAATTTTCCCACCGGTTAATCGACGTGTGACAACACCGGTTATACCGGTATCACCGTGGGGGCAGGGGCGTTCCCTCTTTTCCTCGCTTTCCTTCGCTTTTAAATAACTTGTAAAATCTGCGTGCACATTTTACTTTCACGTTCAAATAGCGGCAATTCGGCGTAAAGCAATTGTTAGTTTTTAGTTCGTTTGAATTTGCCCTCTTTTCCTCACTTTCCTTCACTTTTAAATAGCTTAAAAGTGCTGTGCACATTTTACTTTCACTTTCGAATTAGCGGCAGTTCGGCATCAATTGCTTGAATGCAAAAACAAAATACGACGTGAAACTCACTTTAGCCTATATATAAAACAGGACTTTTATTAACAAAACAAATAACTGTCCGAATTTAGCAGCAGTTAGGCGTCAATTGCTTGAATGCAACAACAAAATACAACATAAAACTCACTTTAGCCTATATATGAAACATAGAACTTTTATTAACAAAACAAATAAAAATACACTATGCTATAGGGCAGGCTATGCCTAATATAAAATAACAAATAACTTACATAGTTTAAATAGGTATACAAAAAATGAAACAAGTAAACATGTATAATATATAACCAAATAAATAAGAAACGTAGAACGTTTATTAGCAAAACGAGTAAGAACGCTTGGAGGCACGGCATACACTTTGATGTAAAAAAATAAAATAAAATAAATGACACAAAGTTTAAAT